CTCATAGTTGTTAAACCATTCTATGGTATTAGAAAGGGTTATATAAAACTATCGTCAAAAGTAAATTGAGGCATCCAAAGCGCATATTAATCGTAATGAACAATGAACAATCAGAAGTCTTATTGTCAAATAGATAGGTGTAACAGTAAGTGAAAAAAATGGTTACAACTTTCAGTTTTAAAATGCGGGTTTTCTAGTATAAACAAGAGCTGCTAACTTTGTTGTTGTACAATGGGGCTGGTCTTAAAAAATTTAGATTCATTCTGAATTTTTGTTTTTACAGAAGTTTTTTTTACATTCTTGTTTTGGAGTACAAGAAGAGTAGAGGAAATTTTTCACTTTTTTCTAGCAATATTTTTTTTTGCTACAACTTTTCTTTGTATTATTACAGAATTTTTTTCTTTACTTTACTTTTAATGTTTAGAATTGCATAATGTAAACTCTCAGATGAAAACTCTTTTTTGCTCTTTTTTTTATAGAGAATGAACGAAAAAACAAAGAATGTAGTAAACTTTTGGCAGTTTTTTAAGTATTACAATTTTTCAAGAATATTAATAATTGTTCACATCTTTAAACAACAGCAAATGCAGTTACAAACTAAAAATTGAAAAAAAAAAATTGTAAACAAAAGTTATAAATTGAAATGAAATTATAAGGACAAAACAAATTTTGTGTTTTGCAACAAGAATAATGTCTTGATTTTTTTTTCATTTGACTGGAACGTCAAACAGAAAAATGAGAGAGAATAGCGTATGTAAAAAGGAGTAATTTTCAAAAACAAACAGTGTTTTTTTAAAGTTTAATCACTGATAAAAGTTTGTTTTTTAGCAACTTTGTGTGCAATTTTTTTTTAACGTAAAGACTGCAAAAAAAAAAAATTTTTTTTTTTGAAATTAATTACACTTTATTGTATGACTATTCGATTGTTTTCGACATTTACAATACGTCTGCCATAACCGATTGAAGTGAAATTTTTCTTCAGAAGATACTTTCACCTTTAGTCGCCTACAGTGAACTTTCTTTGATCACTAAAAGTCATTTTACCTAAAAAAAATTTTGGGTTTTAGACTTTAACAAAAAAATAAATAGTGATGAGCTTTCATTAACATTTGTTATGAAGCAGTAGTTCTACACTTTTAAGTTAAAAAAAAAATTTATCAAGAAACTCACAGCAATTTCTTCCAGAATATTAGAATATTAGTTAAATTTCAAAGTTTATTGTAGAGTATATTATTTGTATTACAAGTCTGATTAACGGTTCGCTTAACATCAGGTTTCTCCACTGTTCTTTACTTCAGACCAATTATTTCGCCAAATTTCACAGCAACAGACGACAATTGTTTTTCATAAAAATTACTGCAGTGTCATCGAGCATTCAGTTCTTGTGCAGTCTAAACTTAAAATAATTTTTCTAGACTATTAATTTAAACATACAGCACAAAAGAACTTAGAAGTGCTTTATTCATTATTTGACTGACATCAACTAACTATAGGTGATTAAATAAATTTTAGGATTTTACTTAACAGCTTCTCGTTTTAGAATTTTGGCAGCAATCAACAGCAACCGAATACGGCATACAGTACGTTTTAAGTGAATCTACAAAAAAAAATTAATAAAGAAGTATTTTAATAGAAAAAGCAGTACAGAAACCTACAGTTAATAGGGTTCAAGTCGAATTTTTCTAAACGTTTTTTATCAGCAAAAGTTTCTGATATAATAAGATTTAACAATTTGATTATTGTAGGCCAATTCTACCGAACAACTTAAGATTATAATGTACCGTCGGTTGTTCAAAAAAACATTGATTGTGGAAGTCAAAAGCGTTCCACATTTTACAGACACATTGTAACTATAGTCTATTTTTTGATGACAAAACCTGTTTTTTTTTCTTTTTTTTCACAAAATATTTCCGCAATGATCTTCTGATTTCTGCCTGATGACAGTGACTATTTAAACGACGTTATTCTTGTTAATAAGCAAGCAAAATTTAGACTTTATCAAAAATAATTTATGTTTGATTAGTTTTTTAGTTTGTAAAAGTTATACGCTCAATTAAATGTATTTTATACTTATGAAAGAAACAAAAGAAACTACAGCGAAAAACTTCTAAAGAGCCATTATCTAAACTGTTCTAAAAAAAAATGTTTTTACAGTACTTTTTCCTCAAAAAATATCAGAACCGCAAGTTGCTTAATCAACAAATTCAAAAAGTTACATGACTAGATGTAAAAAAAAAATTTATAGCTTATTCTGCGCGGTTTCAATTCCTCATTACTGTTGTAAAAGAATAGACAATATAACTGTAAAGAAGACTGCTTCACTAGAAAAAATATTCAGCAATGTCATGCTCATCGTATTCGTTTCAGCAGTGATTCAAGAGAAAAAACCTATTAAAATTCATCTCAAAAAATTGGAATTTTTTCAAATACCATTAAACATTAAAAGTGAAGGTAAAAAAGACTATAAGCGAAAGTTTGTGCTGAGTTTGGTGCCGTGAAAGCTTTGAGCCAAAGTCCTGAACAAAGTTTAATGAACATTAAGAAAGCGAAAGAATTACTAAATTAAAACTTAATTTCTCCAAACTAGTTCGCTTTAAGTTTGTTGCCCTCCTCCTACCTTCTTGTTTATGCAACTAAAGTTATTTTTCAACTTCTATTATTCAGAGTAAATATGAACTAAAGTTCCTAGCTTCGTGTTGATCGCCTTTATTCATCATGGTTCTAGGTTATCACAAACTTTATTAGTAAATTTTAGGAGGTCCGTCAAAGCGGGTATTCTTTTTTCCATGCAATATTTTGAAGCATCTTTCAACATTTGGCAACAAAGTTTAGTATGCATAATTAGTTCATCTTTTTCCTTCTAGTTATTCGCATCGGAAATCCTCGACTTGGTTTTAGTGTAACTTCCGGTAACGCTCGATTTTCTTCCTCCGAGATCATTGAATGGAACTCATAACGATGCAACAGATGTGCTAGCGCCATTTTTTCTTCCGAAAAAGCAAACTGTTTTCCTGAAAAGTCCTCATAAAAATACATTGTCCAGTTGCATCTCCAATGAAATTGGTTAGCTAAATTTTGTGGCCCCAAAAAAGCAGTCAAAGAAAAGTTTTTCAAAACATTTCCTCTTTTTGAAATTTTTTCAATTGTCAACATTCTGCGCGCCCTTGGAATTACTAACTCTAACCTGTAGTAAATGTCGCGGCTACCGACAGAATTTCAAAATCGAGGAAATATTTGTTACAGTTTCCCCTCTATACGTCCCTATGGGGAACCTTTGTAGCTCCCTTTCGTTTCCTTGTAAGATGTGAATAGCCGCTTATTGTCTTAAAAGGAATGCACAGTTTCAGAGAACTGTCTTGCTGTTGCTCAGCGCGAATAGTTCTTACTTACTCAAGTTACTACTACCTTTTATCCCTTGCAGCAATTTCTACTCACTTAAGTTATTAATTCTCCCCAACCTTGATGAGGATTGCTACCGGAATAATTAGATCATAGACAGTCCCTTGATTAATACTACACCTTAATGGGGAGCTGTCTTACATTATTTACAGTCAAAGTATGTTTGTTCCCCCCTTTTTGTTCTTTTAAGGGTTATATCTTAATCCGTTTATTTACTTTAAAGTATTCCAACCCACGATTAAAGGTAAGCTTAAATAATTGCTTAACTTGTTTTAGAATAATACAACGAATTCAATTAACAAGAACGAAATGTTACACTTAACACAGTCGAGGGAGGGCAATCTTTGAGGATTTAAATCCACAAAAGATATTAAGCTCAGCCGCAACATTTTCCAGAACAATATACAATTCTGTAAAATGCGAAGCCCAACCGGCTGGCGATGCTTCGCTAATTAGCCGGCGTCGGCAACTACATCCGGCTGGTTTTCCAAAGCGTTTTTTTCGGGTCTTACTGGAGTGGATGCTGAATAGCTGAGGGGGGGGAAGAGGGTCCTTTCCCGCGTAGTCGCAACAATGAAGTAGAGTTAAATGCAGAAAAACTCATTAACTCCCAAAAGCTGTTTTTTAAACACGGTTAATGAAGTGATTTTAAGCAAGAAAGGTCCCTACCAAGGCAGTTACGAATTCCTGCTGAAAATGGTATGAATGCAAAGGGGTCACGTTTGGCAATGTTTTCTGGAGAAAAGTGATCCGGATTAAATTGGTCTGGATCTTCCCACTCCTAAAACACCAATTGTCAATTTTCACAATTCACCGAAAGAAATTTTAAGGGAGCTTACAAAGATAAGAAAGAGCTTCATTGCAATAACATGAAATTCGCTTACTCGAAACTCAGAATATTTTTCTGTTTATTTTTGCTCACCTTACAGGAATTAAAAAGGCAAAAATTCACAAAAAGTAGCAGTATAAAAGCAAAAAACGGTAGTAGAAAGAATTTTTTTGCCACTTTTCTCAGCGCCTGACCTAGCAAGAAACCGCGTGTTCCCTACATTTTTAAAATTTTCAGTTGAGCAGAACTGAGAGTTTAGTTGTCTGCTCCATCCAACTTTAGTTTGCAAATCTCTCAAAAGACGAGTTTTGCCATAACGTTGAGAAATGTAGTCCTTATCCGGTTCTCCGGCGACCCTTATACTTACAGTTGTTCATGCTGCTTGGTAGAAATAAGTATAACCATTGAAGCAAATGTTTTATTTTTTATTATTTTTCAGAAGTTATAAGGTAACAAAAAGTTGTAAACTTTTAGAACTGCTTTAACTGAGCAGCCACCGCATTTATTCATACATTTTTGTTGTATTTCTCAGCAGCAAAACGTGTAGTATACAAAGCTGCTCTTTCTAAATCTTTTCTTATAAAGATACACTAAAATTCCACCAGAATTTTCAGTAATATTCATAAAAAATTAAATTTGACTAAAATCTGATTTCTAAAGTTGAGAACAAAGGAGGCTGTAAAGGAATAAACTTAAATTTGAGACTTCAAGCTCGATGGTCTTTGTAAAGTCTGTCTTAAGAACTTACTTCTTACTAGGAGAAGCAACAGTTTACCAAGTACAATATGCACCAGATCAGTAAAGACAAACTTCTAACTGTAATTTTCTTAGCTAACATTGTATAAAAGAAAACTGCAAGAGTTCAGTAACAACTAATTCTAATTAATTTTTTTATTTTGTTCTGATCCTCTTTTTCTCAACAGCAGTGTCGCCATGTGGTCTTTGCACAGTCTTTAACCAGAAATTTGGCTGTAAGAGCTCGGTCTTAAATTAATTTGCCATAGGGAAACAGAACTCAACAAATGACAAAAAAATTTTCATCTGAAAAGTATTACCTTCGGGTCCCTCGCTACACTAAACGGTGAAATGCACGCCGTTACACCAGCGGGTATTGTGTATTCTCCTAAAAAGATGAAACTAGTAGGCATGAATCACTCTTGAGATTGACTAAATGAGCATTTTTTGTTGTTTTTTCCACGGAAACACAGTGGTTACGCAACAGCTCATGAGCGTTGCGAAACGCACTGTTCTCTTCTTAACCTTTATCTTTTAATACAATAATTAAAAGTATTACAGGTAGTAACAAAAAATTAAAAAACTTGTCGTCGGAATTGAAAGTGTAATTTAAATCACTAACCGATCTTGACGTCTTCAGTAATGCGCCTTGCAAGCATTATAACCGGCATGTAAAGCCTCATAATTTCCTTCATCCATTGCTCCAGGTAGACTAGATTTTTAAGGTCATCTGATGTAATTTCTCTTTCTTCATCACCTAGAAGAAAAAACTGGTGTTGTATATCTATTAGAGTAGTTTACATTTCTAATTTATAACACTTAACTTCGTTAATAAAAAGCTGTTTGCCAGCTAGCATTTCGTTTCAATAATTTGAAAGTTTACCCAATACGGTATGAAGCTCCTCATATACTTTATCCTGAAATTCTGGTTTAGCTCCGAAAACGAAGAGTGCAAATCCGATGCTGCTGGACACGTTATCGTGACCTAAAACAAGGAATTTTTCTAAATACTTCATAGCTGTTGGGATACGGAAGCTGACAATCGAAAGCTAGAACTTTACAGCTTGATAGGTTTAGTTTTTCTTCACAGTTCAAAGCTTAATTCTTTCAGAAATTGAAAATTGCCGCATTTTATAATTACCCCATTTCCCTCACTGAAGTTTCTGAATTTTTGACTTGATTTTTTTCTTCTTTTTTGAATTTTATCACAATTTTCATCCCAATTGGAACATAATGGTTATAAAGTTGAATATGGACTGGGTTGAATATGGACTGGGTGATCGTAAAGTATCAGTAAAATGCTCTAGATTTCTAACAAGAAGGGATTTTTAATTTATCTTTTAAGGTGACTTCGAAATTTTAATATTCCGCTTGTAACTAGGAACTCTTAGTTTGAGATAAATAAAATTTAAACTCCTTTTCAAAAATTTAATTTCTATTTACCGTACGAAGCTAGTATGGTAAAGTGTTATAAAGTTGTACTGCTATATGAAAATACCTGCGACAAAAATAGTTTCAACTTCTTCACAGATGTCGTCGACAGTCAAATTGTATTCCTTTTGTAAACTCAGCAGCAAATCCAAAAACGACTTTCTATTATTTTTGCCAGACGAAACTTCTTCAAATGTGGGTTTTTCTTTCATACTGTCGTATTCTTTTTTGCGTTCCAACACAACCTAAAAAATATTCCTTTATTTGTTCTTTAGCCATGACATATTGCAGGGGAAAAAAGTTTACTACCTTCCTTGGCAACTGTCTTGTGACCGCTGCGTACTTTTCCATTTTTCTAGTGTGCCCGAGCAGAGTTGCAATTGGCTTGATTCTTAGCCATGGATAACGTAGACTTTTGAAAGCCAGCTCAAGTGTTCGTGTTACTGCATCGTAATAATCCATGTTTTCACCTTTCTGAGAGTTGAGCGAGAATCCCAACGTTGTATCTGTAAAGAATACCTTAAGCACCGTGTAAACTTCGTAAATATCGTCAAAACATTCCATTCCTGAAAGACAAGTTTTTTAAAATAACACTGCTGTTCTCGCCACCTCTCCTGCTATACCTAGTATACGGGAGCTTGCAAAGAAATTATTGAGAAATGAGGTCGTGGGAGTGAAGTCGAGTTAAAAAAAGAGTCAATAAATATTTTGCAACTAACATTCCTCTATCGGCAGTCAAAATTCAAAATGTGATCCTCACAGGAGATGATTTTCAAACTTTTGTTTGATTACAGTAATACCAAAAAAATAAATGATATTCATTTCGTCTATTTTTTTTTTCTGAAAGTAGCCAGGCGTTGCACACTGAGGATTGTAAACATGGGAATATATAAAAATTTTATAATTATTTTTTAAATTAACTAATCAGTTCTCTCTTCTCGAAGTTTTTACAGAAAGATCTATGACAGAAGGAAAAAGCAGTTTTATATGGTATGATTCTTTAACAACATCTTTACAAATAAAGACAAGAATAGCGACAACACTATTCGCTGACCTTCATTAAGAACTCGCTTAGAGCAATGTTTGAAAAAGAGAACTATTAATTTTCAAAACTTTCAAATATTTTTATTCATTATATTATTCTAAACATTAAATACCTAGTTAACTGATTTCAGCTTTATGCAAGATTTTATTGGAACTAATATTAACTAGATGGAAAGATTTGCACAAATACTATTTAATAACGAGGTGGCAAAATTTACCTGTCGTAATATCTAAGGAATAACGCCTTAAATATGGAAGCAAATCAAAAGTTTCATCTTTGTCCGCGAATTTATCCAGTATTTCCATCAAAATCTTAACCACGAAGTTTAGTAACATTTTTTTGTGTAATTTAAAAAAAAATTTCTCTTTAATGGTCCATACATAAACACCTTACTTGTGAGTGTTTATTAAAGCTTTTGTAATAATTTCGAATAACAGTTGGATGGAAAGCAGGAGTGAGCATCTTTCTTCTAGTATGCCATTTTTTTCCAGAACTGAAGCATATTTACGGTAATTTTGTACTTTTCCAACAGTTTTTCTTCGCTTTTCTTCAACTTTACGTGACACTTTTTGCAGAAAAGTATGACTATATAATTGAAATTTATTGCATGAAATCATGAGGAGTTACTTCCCAGTTTTTGTATAACTCACCTTGCTATTAGTCCGTCTCCCCACATACCATTAAGGACTTTGTACTCACTTGGCTTTTCGTTCAAATTTGGGTTTTCTAGAATAGTCTGAAATTTGGACCCCTCAGTATTGTTGTTTAAGTAAAACAAGAAAAAACTAGCGATCTTACAAAGAAGGTATTTATACAAAAAAACTGACAAGAA